AACAGATTCCCCCAGCAAGAACGGGTACGTTCTATTTTCCCCGTTCCTTGTTTAGATCTGTTCATTTTTTCCTCAAATTTTGTCTCAGATCTGATTTCATTTCTGCTGCTACTTGTTACTCTATTGTGCTCAGATTTGCTTGCTAGTTGTAATATGGTGTTCTTTTTTTCCCTTTAAAGAAATAGTGAAAATCAATTGAAAGGAGGAGGAGAAAAAATATCTGAGCTGGGCCCATTCGATTGAGACCTACGTACACTCTTTGATGAAATGCTGGATTCCTTGGTGTGGTTGATTTTCTTCTTTGTGCTTTGTTTTTGTTGAATTGTCATTAGTCATTTGAGTTTTAATTGTTTCCTTTTGTCTTTGATCGTACACACATGTACTTGGTTTCTTCCACTCTTCGTTCATCTACAGATCCAGCTACTTTACTACCTGAGATCAAATTCTGTTTACCAAATTGTTTTTGTTGTTGATAGTGAACTGTTTAAGATACATAGATCCCTTCTCTCGAGTCTTGAACGTGATTTACCTAAAATTTCGACATTGAACAGCATCATCTTCAACACTGATTGTAAATCTAACTCTAACTGAAGCTCAAATTTGCAAATACGGCATTGCAAATTCACGTAGCCATGCCTAAGTTAGATTTTAAGGTTGCATTCTTCTAGGCATGTTCTCTTTTTCTTTTACTTTTACTTGAAGTTGTTCTTCTTCAGGGAACACGAGTTTTCTGTTCTGCGTTATTAATTAGAAACACACGATTCATTATATAATGATTTGATCCCTCTCTCTTGTTTTTCTTTTTTGTTTGTATATGCAGAATCTGGGTATTTGTTATACGCTTTGCCTTTTAATGTTGCAGTAGATGTAGAGATATATCTAGTGCTTGTTTATCTGTTTCTGAGTTTTGTCCGACTTTTTTAGAAGTTATGGGGATTGCTGGTTTTCGCTTGTTTAATTTCAATTTTCTTTTCTAGTATCTGCATAATCTTTCTATGTTTAATCTTGTTAGCAGAAGAGATGGGAGGATGTTGGAGGGGGGGGGGGCATTTTCCTGTTTCGGTACACAGAAAGGTGGAAAACGGATTGTACCTGCATCTCGTATGCCTGAGGGCAATGCATCAACTGCCCAGTCGAATGGTTCTCAGGCTGTTGCTGGGTTGACCAATCAAGCTACTTCATTAGCTCCATCGCTTCTAGCACCTCCTTCTTCCCCAGCGTCATTTTCCAATTCTGCCATCCCTTCAACTGCTCAATCACCTAGTTGCTTCTTGTCATTATCAGCTAACTCACCTGGAAGGCCGTCATCCACAATGTTTGCCACTGGACCATATGCCCATGAGACACGACTAGTTTCTCCTGTTTTCTCAACCTTCACAGCCTAGCCTTCCACTGCTCCTCTCACTCCTCCTCCCGAGTTGGCCCACCTTACCCCCTCTTCACCTGATGTCCCTTTTGCGCGGTTCTTGACCTCTTCTGTAGATCTAGAAAATGCCAATAAGAATAATTAGATTGCTGCAAATGATCTTCAATCTACATATTCACTTTACCCAGGCAGTCCTGCTAGTAGTCTCAGATCACTAATCTCTAGGACTTCAGCCGACTGTTTGTCATCCTCATTTCCTGAACAGGAGTTTCCTCCACAATGGGATCCTTCAATTTCTCCCCAGAATGGTAAATGTTCCAGGATTGGTTCTGGCAGGCTATTTGAGCATGATGCAACTGGTTCCTCCATAGGGTCTCAAGATACTAATTTCTTTTGTCCCGATACATTTGCTCGATTCTATCTGGATCAGAATCCACTTCCTCATGCTGTTGGGAGATTAAGTGTTTCGAAGGATTCGAATGTTTACCCTACCAGTAGCAGTGGACATCAAAATAAGCAGAGTAAAAGTCCTAAGCAAGATGTAGAAGAACTTGAAGCTTATAGGGCTTCCTGTGGATTCAGTGCAGCTGAAATAATCACTACTACTCAATATGTGGAGATTACCGATGTCACAGATGATTCGTTTACAATGACATCTTTTGCTATAGATAAACCTGCCGAGAGTACAAACTTGCAATGGCTGCCAAAGGACCGAAGGCAGGGAGGTTACAGGAAAACTCTCTGCGTGATATGAAACGAAAGTCAAAACCTGATGTTGTCGATTGGACTGGACACAATGATATGCAAGTTTCATGCAATGGATATGAAGGTAAAATGTCCTCTAGTTGATCTGAACTTTATTTATTACTCTAGCAGTTGGTTGTCAAGAAGCCGTGCAACTGCAATTTTACTGAAAATCCTTGGCATCTTCATATTTAACCTTTCAAGGATTTTGGATATCATCTATTACATAATTTCTAATAATAATTAGGGCATTGATATATTTATTTTAAAATTCTGAGTGATAATTTGTGGCATTAGTTATCCTACTTCATACCCAAATTTATTAAGGTACATATCTGAACTTATACAATGAAAGGAGGGAAAGGAAATAACATTGTGATAGAATTTGAGGCCGTGATGAATCAAACAATTTAATCTTGCTCAAGAAACCATAAGTTCCTGAGCATCTGGACTGTTTCGGCATTGTAATAGGAATCTCGTGCATCCTAGTTATTGTGCCCTGTTACATGGAAATCAATAACGTTCTTTCTTAATATGGTACAGAACACAAATAAAGGAGGCAGGTGGCTGATGTCTCTGGATCAGGTATGTCTATCGACCATCCCTTGACCGATGAAGAGGATGTACTTTTGAAGAAGAGTTCGTCAAGGAGCCGGAAATATCAAACGAGCCTGTCATGCTCTGATGCGGAGAACGATTATAGGAGAGGAAGAAGCTTAAGAGAACATAAAGGAGATTTTGAGTTCCATGACTAAGAACTAACACGAGAAACAAGTAAGCTAGTTCAGCTGCTTCCAAGTGCAGTAAAACTGCAGTTTTCTTTTGGTTAAACTTGTGTTAATGGTTCTTTCTTTTGTTGCCCACTCTGGGTTGGGTGTGTGACGTGATGATGTCTCTGATTATGAGTGTAATTCTGTTATATTTGACCCTAGCTTCCTGCTTCACTATGACTTATATGTCTTGTGATGCATGTAATTACATCTATATTATACTTTTGTAAAATGCAATTTACAGCTCAATTTACATGTCCAATGGATGCATTGTATTTGAGCGTGGAGAGCATCGTATCTGTACGTTAATGCTTGGTTAGGCGTGGATTTGTCTCTGTATAATATGATGTGATAGCTGAGCCGAGAGAGAATATATATACACATATAATGAAAATGTGATATATTAACTAACCATACACCCTTTGTGGGAATGTTGCCTCCATGGTTTTATTAGGAAAAGAACAACACCGTCTATCAGGTCACCATGAAAGAAATTAAAAAAAAAAACATCACTAGCACGGCCAATGCAGCGCCCTCGGTGTCCGTGTAGGAGGCAGCAAAATTGGGTGGCGTCCCCATTTTTTTTATTCTCAATTCCCAAATATACTTCAAACCACCTTTTCGCCAGCACGACGGCATCGAAGAGGTTCATGTTGTTGGCCTTGTCATGGTAGATAAACTGCGCCCTGCCGGAACAACTCCTTGAAAGCCTTCACTTGATTCTTCCTCTTCTAAGGAATCTGCACTCAAATTTTATAGAAAACAAAATAAAGTGAAAATGAACCGCCAAATAAGACGATAAATCTGAGGCAGGTCCTCACCCGTAGTATCTTCACCGGCATTAGCCCCTGCGATTCCAATACACGAGTACAAAGAATCTTCATCCACTTTCATCTGGTCATATAAGCAAGGTAGATATCTTAAATAAAAGCACCCTCATAGAGTGAAGTAAGTGATGCATGATATGTCCTGAATTCCAAAGGAAAAAAAAACAAATTTGGAATTCAAAAATACTGGTACGATCTCTTTCACATTAAAGTAAGTTTCAAACGTAAAAAAAGGGTATGAAGTATTGGAAAATAAGAATATATAGACTCAACTATCTAATTTCATTTCACCTTTCTAGGAACAAAAGAAGCTTGCAGGTGAGCCAATGGTCCAAGCCAATACACATTCGACTTTATTTCCGCTTCGTGCCTCATTAAAAGAGTCCGCTTTGCCTGCGTGTTTTAGGATTGCATTTATAAACTTAAACAAATGAAAGCTAGCTTACGTAAATTCTGTTTCTTTTTTCCCCACCTGAACCACATTCTTTCAAACCAATTTCAAATTACATAGTAACATAAAATTACACACGTTATAATAATTGTATAAGAACTAACCCTCTCCAATTCCCATGGCGAAATCCCGTTGGCGTGTAAACCTCTAAGAACATTCTTGCAAGCATCAACAGCTTTATGTACCTAGAAGCAGGGTTTTAAATCACGGTTCGAAAACGTGATTTCGTCCGCGAAATAGCGGTTTTGCCACCGTCCGAGTTACCCGCTACACCCGCAATAGCGCATGCAACGGCCGCGGTGACCACAATCACGGTAAACCATAAATGACCGAAAATACGATCGCGACCGCGACCGCGATTTGAAACCCTGCCTAGAAGTTAATCCCGAAAATTGGTGATGAGGTCAAAAGGACAATAATAATACCCACAAAACAACAAAAGAACGCAGATATATCTGGATTGAGCTCCCACCTTGCTTGGAGTTGATGTCACAGATATCACATAACATCCAAGATTAAGTCGATCAAACAAATTCAGCTCAAATGATACGTCATATGCTAACCCAAGGGAATCTCGGACTGTTGTAAAAAGCCTGTGACAAGTTGGGTAGAATTTGCATTAGATGACTTCCGAAGACATGTATGGAATTGTAAAGGATACCGGAGGGTAAAAATTTAGCATAAAAATGAACAAACTATTTCATACTTTCCCAATTTACCCTTTTAACTTTCCAAAATTACAAACTAGTCACCATAATTAATAATTTCAGTTTAATAGAAGTAATATTTCTACCCTTTTTCCATCGTCTTTCAATTTTTACTAATTTCCTGATTCGATCCGGTTATTCAAATATCTTACTGGACTTTATCTCTTCGTTGATTTTTACACAATCTCCTAAACAAAATCTAAATTCCATATAGAATCCATTGTTAAGGATGAACTATTCGTTTATGGTATAAAATTTCTTTTTGGGAAAATGAACAAGTTAGTAGCAGCTGTGCTTGCAGCAGTTCTGCAGTCATTGCTAGCAACCGCCGCTTCCGTCGACGATCATCGTCTCATCTCTCGTATTGCTTTCGGATCATGTGCCAATCAAAGTGCTCCTCAGGTCCACCACCCTCCTTTTATACTCGTTTTTATTATTTTTTGAAACCCTAAATGCACTCAATCCCAACTATCATATCAAGCAAGTAGTCTATTAGTTTGAAATTTGTTCCGTTCCTTCAATCATATATAGCAGAGCAAAGCAATTGTTGTGTTATGATGTATTCTTCAATTTTTGTTTCAGCCCATCTGGGACGCCATCAACAAGTTTGATCCCCAAGTTTTCATATGGCTGGGTGACAACATATATGGAGACATTAGACGTCCTTTCAGCGTTTTCGGAAAGGAAAGGACGATTGGCCCCTGGAAGAATGCTCCCAGATTCGTTCCTTCACATTACTCCGAAATGCTCTCCGGATACAACATGGCTAAGAACGTTCCCGGTTATTCACGTCTCCGGGCTAATGCTAAGGTAAGCTAAACTAGGCTAAATTAAGGCTAAACAGTAAACACTCACTGGTCACTGCATATCTTCTGTTCTTATGTCCAGTCCATATAAAATCTATGCTAATCTGTTATGTGAATTGCTCGAGGTCATTGGTACCTGGGATGATCATGATTATGGACTCAATGATGCTGGCAAAGAATTTTCTGGCAAAACTACTAATCAGAGACTTCTTCTCGATTTCTTAGATGAACCCCAAGACAGCCCCAGGTCACCCCTTCTTCCCCACTACATTTGCAAGTGCAATGTTTATTTTCCCTTTTGTTAACTTAATATTTTGGGATGGGATTATTGGTCATAATGTAGGCGCAAGCAGGCTGGTGTTTATGCATCTTATACATTTGGCCCTTCTGGTAAACAAGTCAAGGTATGAGTATAACATGCTTTCCAAGTATTGTATTCTCTCTAGCATCTAAGTTAAAGCATGACTATGACATTTTTCTCCGACTCGTCTTCTCTCTGTATGTCAATATAGGCAGCTATACATAGACTTCTACTAATATTGGTAAACTTGCTTTCTAAGATTATCCTATTAGATACTCGATACCACAGAGATCCTCTATCTAGTGATGGGAGCGTCTTGGGGGCTTCACAATGGTCATGGTTAGAGAGAGAGATGAGAGGTCCACCTTTGACCCTTACCATTATTGGATCTTCTGTTCAGGTATTTCAAATGTTAACTTGATTATTCTACTATGAGGTTCTATATTTAAATTACAGACTCCTTGTTGGAAAGCATTCAAAATCTGATCAGTTTGTCTAGAACAGATTATTATTCCAATTTTCACATTTCCTTTGTTTTTTCAGTTTCTAACTCAGCATGAGTTTTTATGCCTTTATTCCAGGTTATATCAAACCTTTCTGGTACAACTGGCCCCTTGTTTTATATGGAGTCTTGGGGACGTTTTCCAAAGGAGAGGGATCGCCTTTTCAAGTTGATAAATGATAGTAAGGTAATAATGCCACATTTTTATCATTCACCTCTATTTCAACCGAACTACTTCATATAAACAGTGATATGTTAGTTATTCTCCCCATCCTGTTTTTCCTCCTGTTTTGATCTGATGATACTATGCCGTTTTATGTTTATTTTTCCCGGGCAGAGAGATGGAGTCTTCTTCATAAGTGGAGATGTTCATTTTGGAGAGATTACGCGATATGAATGTGCTGCTGGATATCCCTTGTATGACATTACATCAAGTGGTTTAACACAAGCTGTTGAGAAGGTGCTCCCATCACCATTGCATTTCATAGTTAGATTTTTGGCATGGTTTACTCCCAGTACCATGAGAGTTATGAACCAACATTGCAGATATAGGTCATGCACATATGGTATACTCGTCATCTCTTTTTTTTTCCTTTTACAATTTTTACATGTACGTACATGCAGATGAAGTTTCCATGTTTTTGGATTCTGTAGGCCAACCAAATTTCGGAGCAATTCAGATTGATTGGGATGCATCTCCAGTTAACTTGAAAATGCAAGTCCGTGATATAAACGGACTTCCTGTGACTGGTGTAGATATTTCATTATCAGAATTGCAAGCATGGAATTCTACAATTAAAGCAGGACAAGAACAGAAACACTGCACTCTGGAAGTGAACTTGCCATGGATTGTTAGATATCGCTTGGCTATTCTGGTTTACTCTGTTTTAGTTTGTAAGCAGTTCTTCGAGCTTTTGGTTTCCTAATCGAATCTGTCCAGCCTCCTTTTTTCATCAATTTTAGTAGCATTAAGAAAAACTATGGCACAGAAAAATGTCTTGGAGGAAACAGGATTGTGGAACATGTAGAACATGTGCTGTAATGCAAAATGAGCCTACCATTTTAAAAGTGCAGAAAAGAAGAACCAAGACCGGAACATACTGGGCTTGTTTTATTGCTTATTGAGTCCTTAGTTAGAACTACCCTTAGGTGTCTGATCAGATGTTTACCATATGCTTACTAATTACATTATTATAAATTTAAACTGTACTTCCATAGCATCTTCTAATTTCACAATCACGAGTACTTTTTGTTTACAAATAAGGAAAATAAGTAATTTTCTCTGTTATTACTTGATGGTTTTGATTGCATTACTTTGCTTAAATATGAAGTTTTAACTGTATTTGTATATTTTTGTCTATATCTTTTCCTTATTATGGATTTCCTTTGTCCACTGTTGCAGTGTTGCTTCTTGCTTTGGTAGGACTAATTGCTGCTGTAGCATTACTCTTCCGGGCGTGCCTTAAGAAATGCAAGACGGATTGACCTTTGTTCGATATGGAGTTCAGTATAGAGATCCTCAGGAACACATTAAGAAATGTCGTATCTGACGCACCAGTTAAGTGTCATGTTAAAGGTAAAGAATAAATATATTCTTAAAGTGGATTACACAGAATCTCATAAAACTAGAGGCAAATTCTCTACCCCACCATCCGATTCACCGGTAAGTACTTCTCAGTATCATTGCTGATCATCAGAGAATTGTTATTTCCTTTCAAGTGAATAGTTAAGATCATCTATAACAGGAATTGCAGATTTAGTTAAAAGTATACCTTTTGGAAATTAAAGATCAAGTTCAGTTCACATACCAAAGGAATAGTAAAGAATCTCGAGTCGATTTTCGTCTTGGTAAATGCGCATGCAAAATTAGTGTGTATCCGAACATGCTATAAATATATTTAATTTGGTTGCATGCATGCATCATGCATGTAATTGCTTCAGAGAATGAGAGAGCTAAACAAAGCCAGATTTGCTTCTGTTAGTGTTTTTTTTTTTCTCTTTTTGTTGCCCTCCCTCTCATTTTCTGCATACCCAAGGACCCAAACTTGAAATTTATTTAAGTGATATCAAACTGTTTACTACTTGAACTAACCTAGTTGGTTGTTTCTGTTAGTTTATTGTCATTGCTTATGATAAAAGTCACTTTGGATCTAGAACAAGTAGTACTGCACACGGTCACACTTACAGCACATTTAGCACAAGCATTAATGCGTCTATTGTGTGCATGCCTTGAGGAGGAGAGAAGGTATGCATGCAACACTATGACGCACTCACACACACACGTACATACACTAGTCTATTTTGGATTTCTGAATGATAATAATAAATTTAATTATCTTTCAATATATCAGAAATAATTTTTAAAAATTATAACCTAAAAAATGTTGGGATTATATAAATTATTCATTTAGATGATTATTGGTTTATAGTTTCTAATTAAATTTAAGGGTAAACTATATGTTTAGTCTCTCAACTATCACTTTTGTTTCGTTTTGAATACACAATTATTATTTTTTAAAATCATATTTAATGTTATGTTTTGGTTTCATGTTGGTCATTTGTTAAAAAAATTAATAAAATTGTTGATGTTATTTTCTTTATTTTTTTCAATTATGACGTGTCATTTTATGGCAACAAGTCAACATTTCTATTAATTTTTTTAATAGTGGATAATCAAAATGTAACATAAGGTATAATTTTGAAATAAAAAATAATTTGATGGTCGTAATGAAATAAAAGTGATAATTGAGATCATAAACATATAGTTTAAAGTGATAATTGAGATCATAAACATATAGTATATCTTAAATTTAATAGTCACATTTATTGTACTTGAACATTTGGTGTCATGATTGTTGGTCATAGAATATTTAGAGAACTTGTATATTAAATATGAACTTAATTCGACTTTGACTTCATTTTTCGAAACCTATCTCATTCGTTCCAAATCTTAATTTCTTTAAAAAGTTATATTCCTATTTGATGGAATTTAGTCAAAATTTGTCAGATTCAAAAAAAATGATCATCCCTAATAATCAGGAATAAATCGAGAAAGATGGGCGGAAATAATCATTCCTCTAAAATTTAAAATTATCATATATATATATATATATATATATATATATATTTTCTTTTCAAAACTTGTTTTCCTTGTAATAAATTTATTTTTTCTTAAAATTTTAGAAAATCATCCATAATATAAAATCATATATAAGATAGGCTAATAATTATGCATGGTTCAAGTGATTTTCTTGGGGATAGTAATCTATTTTGTCAGTCTTTCTTTCAAGTCTTACCAACGGGTTGGTTCAAGTGGTTAGCAGTTTGATGTTGTTTAAGTAAGATCTCAGGTTCGAGTCATTGTATATGTATAAAATCTTCGTTAGGAGATTTACCTACCAAAATTAGGTATGAGACTAGAGTCGATCTATATTAGTAAAGACCTGAAGCCTTGAAACCGGAGGGTAATAAAAAAAAACAATGCCTTGTTTCTCTTAAAACATCAATGGCGTGGCGTAGGGCATCTTTGTCTCTTCGCATATGTCATCGCATTCGTCTCCACGTAATGTGTTTCCCACTTTCTCCATGCACACATTCTTTTCAGCTTAATAATTATTATAAATATGATCAACTTTTACATCTGTCTTGCGACAATAATTGTAAAGTTACAATTCTAATTAAATGTTTTTATTTCTTAATAAAACACACTTCCTTTTTTTATAGTTGACAACTGAGGATAAATAAAATGTTCTTTTAAATAATAAAATATCCATCACTTTAATTTTACAATTTTAATGCATCAAAACTCGGATGGCATAAGCATTTACTCACATGTATTTTTATATTACATCAATCTTATGAAATCCCATTATGCCATATTCATTCTAAAGCAGTTTGACCATTTCTAATTTCATCGTTTGATTTTTTTTATTAAGCGTTAAGTGTGATAGAACGAGAGGGACAATGAAATTAAAGGTTAAGAAAGTGGGATGGTAAAAGATTACTAATACAAACATAGATTTAGAGAAGAACAAACCAAAAGGCATATCTTTATGAAATTTCGACCATCATCAACGATGACCAAAACTGGCGAACTAATATCGATGCGGCTAAACCTAATTAGATTTTGGGAAACGAAGAGTAGGAGTGTTCAAACAGTTAATTCAGCCACCGATCGAGTCGAATTTTCATTAATCGAATTAATCGAATTTTTTTCTTTAACTGTTAATAAAACTGAATTTTTTTTGAAGATATTAACCGAACAGAATAAAGTTCAGTTATTTCGGTCGGTTAACCGGATTAACCATATTTTTTATAATATTTTAATTAGATTAATTTGAATATAATAGAAATATTTTTTTATTTGGGTTAAAATTTAATTATTTATTAATAATTTAACGAGTCTAGTGTGGTTAAAAAATAATTAGGTCTTAATTCTTAATGGGTTTGTGCTTAGAATATGTAATTAATATATAAAATATTTAATAATTTCTGTTAATTTGATTAATTCATTTAAATAACTGATTTCAAATCGAATTAAACGTTAACCAAAATATTAAAAAAATATTAACCGTCCCCCAACCGAGCTAATTTGATGGCCGATCGAATTAATCGAAGTAATTCGGTTCAATCGATTAATTCGGTTAAAACCTAAGAATGAACACCCTAACAAAGAGAGAAAAATGAGAAAAAGAAAGGGAAAGAGAAAGGAAAGAACAAAAATAAATATTTTTATTATCCTCTAAAACGATGTTGTTTTAAACTTCAATATAATAACACCAAAATAACTTCGTTATGATCACACCAAAACAACGTCGTATTAGTCATGTAATCACAATAAAATATAATTATCCCAATGTCACACGTGCATTGAAACAAAATAAAAACTCGATATTATAGTTGAATAAAGGAATTAATTATGAAAATAATACATAATCTAAAACTTAATGATAATTGATATACAATTGATCATATTTGTTGATATGGGCACGTCACATAAAACTTGGTGTTTTTTTAGGGTTAGACAAGCTTTATGTACATTTTGACAAAGTACAATGTTTATATGAAATTTTTTGATATCCCTCACTCGTTGAAGGGCTCTAGTTTCCCTAAACAAGGTAGAGAATAAAAACTAAGATAATTTATTCATAGTGATGTGCTACTTAAATACAGAGTAAAATACTACAAGATGTTTAAGTGTCATGATCTGAGTAGGAATATACTGAGTTCCTGAGCAGTGCTACCGAGTGGGTTAATCATGTGAAACGAGTGCGAGTGTGGAGACCCAATCACCCTCTTGAAACTAGCTCTCATGTACATCAGCTCCTCCTCACACTTCCCCCCCACCCGCAAAACCCCCGCCCCCACCGACACCGACTGCATCATCTTCAGCACCGCCTCATCTCCGCCAATCATCCGCCTCTTCACGGCGAACCCAACTTTCCTCCCGTTACAGTACATGGACCAAACCGGCACCTCATAGAGCCAGCACGATGACGACGGCCTGTCTTTGCTCCTCTCGCACTCCAACGCTATCCTCATCAGCCCGTGCTGCATCTCCCTCGCCAGGTACGCTGTCGGGATCCCCAGCTCCAACAGCAGGATCGGGGATCCCCGCGTGTCTTCGTGCAGGCAGAAGCTCACGCGACCCTTCTTGTACCCGAAGAAGGTCCCGGTGATGGTCGACGTCGAAGGCGAAGTCGGGGTGCTCAACTGGTCCGTGTCGCTTCCAGAGACCTGGACCGACGGCGGGAAGCCGAAGCAAGGGACCATGCATTCGACAAGGGACCATATGGATCGTCGGAAGCGAACTTCACGGCCACAATCGATGGAAGTGGCCATCGCCATGTCCATTGTGTTTATATGGAGAGGATGACCTCTTTGGTTCCCAAGGTCTATCATCGTCCTCATGGTAACTCACTGACTCTAAAACAACCAATCTGTGTATGTAATGATTATAGGAAGCTTCAACTAAGCTAGTAAATTACAGATAGATTGATAGGTGTAGCGATCATTTGCATGACAAGTAGTAGGTGAAACCTAGTGGGATGTGTTTTCTTTAGGCTTCGTGGGTGTGTGAAGTGAGGGAGGCCAATTTGGAGGCTATAAATAGATCTCTTTTTAGAGGAATAATGCATGCCAGAAATTAATAAAGAAAATGTAGTCTAAATGAATAAATTTTGTAGTTTAAAATCATCGTTACATAATTTTAAGAGATAAATTTAATTATATTTAAAATTATATAAAATGAGAAAAATAATAAAATTATCTTTAAAAAGTAATTCATAGATTTAATAGTTTTATTTCGACAGCTGTAAAAAATGAAACATATTATGATAAAATAATATAAGTGTTATGGTTTGCTGACATTTTAAATAAGATAATTTTAAAATTCATGACGAATATATTTAGTTAGAAGAAAAAAAATTATTTAAGTTAAATTATTATCTCGAAAGAACATATTTCAAATGAATTTGCACTAGAATTCGTATTACTTGAACGATAATTTATTTTTAAAAAATAAACTTTATCATAATTATTTTGATTAGAATTACGAGTTTATCTTTCGCTTCAAAATCATCTTTTTTATTAAGTCAAAGTGATTACAAAGTAATATATGTTCTAAATAATCTTAACTATTTGACAATGAACGCTCACCTTGCTGCAGCCACTAGTGTTTAAACTCGTGTGTTTAAACTTGTGACCTTTAAAAATAACGATTACTTTAATTACTGAGATACGTTAGTTCGTGCACTTCAACAAATCATCTTAAATTCTATAATATTTCTCGTGACAATTATATTCCTCTATTGTTTTATTGGCATGGATTAATTAACTAAAAAAAGGCCAATAAAATTAAGGAGAGCAAAAGGTAAGTGGGGGCTGGTGACGGTGGGCAATAATTCTGCCCACAAGGGGAGGCGGGACACAGCCCTTCGATGGTGCTGCTACTGCGCGTGATTGACCATTTCAGAAAGTTTGACGTCTTCTGTTAATTTAAGGGTAAATTGCAAATTTCACAATTCAACTTTCATCTCAATTCTATTTTGGACAATAAAGTCTTAACATATTTTAATTTAATCATTCAACTTTTGAATTACTCCTATTTTAATCAATCCATCTTTAAATAAAAAAATAGTATGATATATGCTAAAATGACGTCATTCTGAATTATTTCAAAATGGCATTATTTTGGGAATTGTTTTGGGCATTAGCAAGGCCAGTACTTATTTAAGAGTGTCAATTGACAGCACAAAAGTTTTAATTTTTTATCATATAAATTGTATGTGTGTGTGTATATATATATATATAAAAGAAGAAAAATTACACTCATTTTAAAAAGATTTTGGCAGCCTTTAAAAAAGAAATTCACTCCATTTTCAAAAAATTATTTAACAAAAAAAAACTTTAAACTCAATTTTCTCACTTAAAAGAAAATCTTCACTTAGTTTTTAAATTTGAAACCTCAAAACAAAGTTTCTATTTCCGCCCCTAGTTTTAGGTCCTTATAAAAGTTATTTTATAAGGAACAAAAAAAAGCTTTTACAAGGGTGTAAAACGACAACGTTTTGGTCTAAATTCGACATTTTTAGATATGCAAAACGATTTCATTATGGTGTGTCATCACACATCGTTTGTGATTTAAGAATGTAATGATCAATATATGAGCAATTTGAAAGTTGAATATTAAAATTGAAACCTTTTAACCTTTTGTGACCAAAATATAATTAATAAGAAAATTGAGTGAAGAACTCATAATTTACCCTCAAATTAATCCATCTATAATAATAAAAAAACTGAAGCTGTTGGATTGTGAGAGTACACCAGAATCATGCATGCAGCATGGGCCGTGCTGGTTTGTCTGTCCAGCAATACTAATACTAATAATATAAATAAAACAGTGATTTGTAAGCAAATCCAATCACAGATTTTTGAGTGGATTGATTTATGCCTTGCACCGCACGTGTCCCTACTCCCTAATAATTCGACATTCTTCTTCCGATCACAATCTCAGTCTGCAAAACAATGTATCTTTGCTTTGTATCATACATTTTTCATCTCCCACACAATTTTGTCAGCTCAGTCTTGGACTCACTTGAATCACTATTTTTATATTAACAATACACTAATTTATACGTATAGTCCTTTAATTTAAGGGTAAATTCTATGTGTGGTCTATTTTACTTTTAGTCCATCTTATTTTAATTATCAATTTTTAAAAAAACAGGAATGTAGACATTTACGTTATCGGCACGTCTTATTTTAATCAATCAGTTATTAACTTATGTTAATTCAAAAGTCTGGCACGTTAATATAAAAAGGTTAATTTTAAAAGTAACCCCTAAACTTACAAAAAAAAAAGAATCACCCTTTTCATAAATCATTTTAAAATCATTTTTTCTCAAAAAAAAATTCCTTCATCTCTAAACTTAATCCACATCTTTATTGTCGTCATCGTCTTCGTCCGACTTCGTTGTATTTTACCAACAGGTCGTGGTCGCACTAGGGCCACCCATCCCGCCTATCACGCCTAGTTACCTGTAACGTCTACCTTTGGAAGAGCCTTGGCCCTCTACTCGTCTGTTAGCCATTGCCTCTAACATCCCTATCCCATTACCGGTTGAAGCTATTCTCTTCAGCCCCAACACACATTCACTCTGGTTCGCCCAACCCCCTTGCCTTTGGGTTATTGTTAAAAGATGATAAAAGAATAAAAGTAAATTTAACATTTTTGTATTAACATGCCACATACAACACAAATGATCAAAACAATACTTTTTGAAAACCAATAATCAAAATAAATCAGGACGGAAATAGAATGGATCATCATCAATATAATTTTCCCTTAATTTAAAGACCAATGAATAAAAAAACCTAGAATATTTGAGCTTTATTATGATATAATTATAGATGGGCATGGACCTGAACCTGATCGGTTTTGATTCGACTCAACTTGATCGGGTCGAAGTTTTTTTAAAAAAATTAGAGTCGAGTTGTGTCGGGTCAGGTCTTTTTTTTAATGTGATGTTCGGGTCGGGTTCGGATTTAGGGTAAAAATATCTAACCTAATCTGACCCAAAAAAATATAATTTTATCTTATATATTTAAGAATAATTACAATAATATCCCTCTATATATTATTTTTTTCCAATTAAATTACTATTTTTATTTAAAAATAATAATTTTTTATTATTATTTTGGGTAGAATTGGGTTAGATTCAGGTCAGTAAAATTTTGTTTTGATTGAGTCAAATCAAATCTCATATGAAGGACTTCTTGTTTTTAAGTCTAACAGGTAGATCAAAAATCTAACTCGACCCGACCTATATCTTTCCCTAGATATAATAATCCCCTAAATCATTACGCATGCAGCTAAAGGGTCAGACAAATGAGTGGGCGAGGCGCACATATAAATATGTACAAACAATACAAAGAAAGCATAGGGTTTTGAAAAGTGAGTTTGGTCTATTGAGAGGCAACAAAGAAGGGATCACATCAGATAAAGCAAAAGCAAAAGGTCAGCCAACAGTTGTAGGATGGGATGCAGCGAACACTGATTAGACCCGACTCAGTCCTTCCTGTCCCCAACTCACCCGCACGTACCAAATCCTGTCCATTCTCATTGTCCTCATTCCTCACAATGCTCCTCTTAATTAAAGATAAAACATGAGTGGTCACTAATTAATTTGATTGAGATGATCATTGGGATATACTTGGATTTCAAGAGAGATTGCATGCATGGTTAAGTTGGTATTATAATGAATACTATGGTCATTGTGGATATTTTATATTCTAATTTTTTAGATTCAGATTTAATTTTAATTTAGATCAGAAACTTTATTGATGATAAAATACATATTTCGATACTTATAGGCGGAGAATCACATCTGATTATTTTAGGAATAATGTGTTAGAATTAAATCATAATAATTATGAAAATAACTCGGGATATAATTATGTCAAATCATCAATAATAAAATAAATGCTAGATGCGGAAGCGTACATGAATTAATTGGTTGGTTGAAATCCTTGAATTTTTATTTGGTTGTGATCTTCTAAGAAGATAGAATTCTCTTGAGTATAAACTCTCTGACGGGGATTAGGGTAAATACGAGATTATCTATTTCTTGGTGACCATAACCTCTTTATATAGCTGATTTAAGAATCATTTATTGTTTGTACTTATAACTCTGTCCCTCATCAAATTATAAATACAACTTTAATAGTAGCTACAATTTTATTTCCATGATAAATCTAATACCTTATGACTTTATAACATAATTGGTCACTTAATTTTTGTCATATTTTATGATAAAAATATACATTATAAATATGTGCCCATAATTATATATTTTAATCCAACAATCTCCCATTTGGGCAACATATGTTTCTTGATAAATGTATAACCTTATGAGCTCAAAACTTATTATCATAATATAGATATTCTATAACAATCTCGTTCATCAACTATATCCATATAGGATCAAAGTTATCTTTGTCATATCAATCATGACTAGATCCATCTATGGTCACGTATACAAACACAGCCAAATGACATAGATCAATCATGGTGTGTAGCATAGAAATTACACGCAATGTGAACCGTGCATGTTTATTTCCAACTGGGCCTCTTTAAACATTAGTGAAATCAAATTTTACCAAAACTAAAGTGGATGAACCAAAATAAACTTTATTTTTGTAGAAAATAACTTTAAAATAAATATCCTTAAACTGAAGTAACTAAAATTGTGTTTAAAACAAACGAGCATTTTTAAAGTTAAAAAATCCCGCTAAAACTAAATATCATTAAGTGATATTACACCCACATGAGTAGTATGCTCATGAAAGACCTTGGGTAATAATTCCTTAGTAAGAACGCAATTATGAGTTTGTATCAATATATTCTATAAACACATAACTACTATGAATTTTCTTTAACAACCAGAAACATAACGTCTATGTGTTTAGACTTTAAGGTGTTTTTGTTATATATATGAAATAAAGGACTGCAACTTAGTTGTCACAAAATAAATCAAGTAGTCTTTCTTATTAATATATAATTAGGAGCTCATGTGACAAATTCTGCAATCA